AGACCGAATCCGGGCAGCTATCGTTTACGAAATCTTAATCGAGCAAACCGCTAACCGAGGTATAATTCGTTTTTGATGGCTCTAAAACGTGATTCCAGCTCACGATAAAGCTGCAACTGGCTTAAATTTTCTAGAAAAACAGGGGGGAAAAGAGGAAAATTTAGCGTTGCCGCATGCCAGTATGGGAGGTTCCTAACTCAGGAGTCCAGAGCGAGGAGTGGGGTTAGGTTTTTTTCTTATTTTTCCTATGGAGCATGAATATTTTTTTCACCATCACGCTTCTTGGAATCTCCCACGCGCTTCGCAGATAAGCTGGAAACTGAGCGTTTAATAGGACATCAAGAAACGAAAAATGTGTGGACGTTTAATTTTTCGAAACCGTTGTAGGATAACGGACGAGGAAAAGATTATAGCTGATGTTCCACATCTCCGATGCAGAAACGGATTCTATGTACATTACTGTCTTTCCTCTACACTGTTCCTATTGTAAGCTGCCTCACAGACATAAACCATTACTCTTCGGTACTACCCGAGGCTCTTCCGTAAGTTACCCTGATCAGATAGAGTGAGTGGACGTTGAGAGTACATGGTAAGAAAAATTAACCAACATTATGTGTTAGTATGGCAAGTCAAACACAAAGATACCAAACGTGCGGTTGATATGTTATGGTTAGTTTTTCTTTGGATTAAATGGACTGCGTTGTGAGTAGTGTTATACAACGTTTGTAATAGCACGTAGATGTAACTATTCGTGCTTACTGGATGTGCGTGTTGCATAGACCAAAAATTGAAGGCATTTTAATTAAAAAAATGACACCCTAATGAAACTGCGTTGTGAGTAGTGTTATACAACGTTTGTAATAACGCGTAGATGTAACTATTCGTGCTTACTGGATGTGCGTGTTGCATAGACAAAAAATTGAAGGCATTTTAATTAAAAAAATGACACCCTGATGAAACTCTTTATGCTCGATGGATATTTGAATTGCTAATACGAACAAAAGAAGGCGCTCTATCTTGTTCACCTTTGCCACGCGGATTTGCGGAACGCGACCGTCGCCATATTTTTTGTCAAAGTTTCAAAGAAATTGATTGAAGCCGGACCACGGTTGGAAATGTTAATTCACTGTTTAATGCATTATAATGTATGCATTTCAAAGACATGTCGCACGGTGTGTCTAAAATGCATCCGTTATTATGTAATAGTGAAAAAACATTTCTAACCGTGGTCCGGCTTCAATCAAGTTTTTTGAAATTTAAAAAAAACCACACAATTCGCAACTCCGTACATACACTAGCGTCCCTCTTTTTTTAAGCGTTAGTACATGTTGCGAATCTGCGAAGAGCCAGAGAGTTTGTAAAGTTAGATTACTTTTGTCATGCGGTCGTTTCATTACGGTACTTAAAACATTTCATATGCGGACAAATAATAGATAACGATTCCGCGACCAAGAAACCGCATACCTCCATTAAAATCTCCGGGCAGGTTCGCGATTTCAACGGCAGCACGGCTCCCGACAAAACATACGTTTCGAACGAGCAAATGCTGAATCTCGGCATAAAAGCCGAGGCGGCCAGCGCTGCAAAAGACGCGAGCGAATTTTAAATACCGACCCACGCTAATAACTAACGCTTTAAATTGATTTATGCACCTTATCCATTAGTTATTAACAAGAGCTCTCTTGTCCGCTGTGTGAGGTTAACTTTGGACAAACGCCAGCTCCCCCGCCAGACCCCCCGTTCCCCGCCGCCATCGCACAGTTGCGAGATTGACCTAATAAATCACCACTGTTCCCCTGTTGATATCCATGTTTAATGGCGTGATCTGGCAACCTTGATCATTCCGTCTCAGCATAACTACCCCTCCGTCCCTGCCACCCTTTCCTCCGCCGGAAGCCGCAGCGTCGAGGGGGAAGGGCGGGAGGGGGTGGCGACACTCTCATAACCTGTAATCCGGAGGTGATGTACTAGCTTTTTGCTGTCCACTTTCCATTCGTTCCGGAAAAAATCTTGTCCGGAAGTCCGAGGTGCTCGGAAGTGCTCTCTGGATTTTCTATGAGCTCCATAATTCTTTAAGACAACACTTTTTGTTTGGGTTTTCTTCCTTTTTGTTTTCCTTTTTCGAGAGCCCGTCCATGCATAAAGAGGTGCTGGGGAAGAGGAAAAACTTCGGTTATACGAACCGAATGGTTCAGTGCGCGCTTTTCAATTCATGGAATTGAACCGTGAATCGGGCGAGCTGCCCATAAACCGAGTTGAAACATTGATCATCATAGTGATCCTGGATGATAAAATTGCACTACTTATTGCGGTAAGTATCCTCAGAATGAAACAGCCAGCGTGAACAACTTATATCTAACATTTTGAAACATGTAAATTTACCATGATACATTAAGAAAATGAAAAAATCAGTTCATAGAAAACTGCAATAACGGTACTTATTTTGAAAAATTCACTTGTAAAGAGATGAAAAACGTAGAGTAAACATCATGCGCAACAGCAGGTTTTAGTTGCCGCTTGTTGATTAAAATCGGGATACGTTTTCATGTTTTATTCGGCCATAGCTACTTATTTAGTTTTATAGCAAGTTTAAAACGATGGAAGGAAGATTTGAGAATATAAAAGTCAATCCAGATTCGAAAAATTCAAAAATCCTGTCAAAAATCCTGTCAAAAATAGGGCTTTTGGTGTATCTTTTACAGTTTCTAGGAATGTCATTGATTTTTGGCTAAAATGAAAGGTAAAAGACTAGCCTCCGGTATAGAGCTTAACATTCGCTCAAAATTGACAGTCAAGAAGTGTTCCCAAAAAATGGGCCCTTCTTTCAGGAATCCAGATCCAGAGATATTCTTGTTAAAACGCAACCTTTTGATGAGAGCAGCCTCTGTCATAATTTTTATTCCTAGTTTAAAGCTGGTTTTGGCGAATAAGCGTTGCAAAGTTTACTTTTTCAGCACATGACGAGGCATGTTTTCAATGCTAAAAAATATAGACTTGACGATTCCGTGATCCACTGAAAAATGGACATTGTTCAGCATAGAAAAAAATGCTTCATTATGTGCTGAAAAAGTAAACTTTGCATCGCCAGATCACCAGAGCCGGGTTTGAACTCGAAATGAAAACTATAACTGAAGATGTTCTCATCATGGGGTTTCATCTGAACAAGGATATCTGTGGATTCCTGGAAAAAAGGTCCAATTTTCGGAAGGTCTTTTTGCGGAGTTGGAAAAAATTGAACCTCCGACAGAACGCAGCGCCGGTGACTACGCAAAACTTCCGACTGAAAAAGTCAGGACGAGATTTCGCAGAACAACGTTGCACAGAGGTTTACCTTTCGTTGTCATCAAAGGCTGTTTTCGATGTCTGCCTCGGGATGTGGGTTCAAGTGATCATCTTACATAATTAAGAACTTTCACTCGAGGCTAATGGTTGTTATTCTTTTGTCTCGGCTCCGACCCCCAGCCCCCAAGCCCTAAACCCCCACTTGAGGAGTACTCAACCATGACGAGTCTGTTTCTATCATTGTTTCTAGCCGAGTTCTTTTTTCGAGCTTACATTAACTGAGGCCCCTTTGCCGAGTTTCAGCGAAATCCTGTAGAGTCTCAGATGTCTTGATGTTTTTTTTTGGGCCGGATGGTAACGCTGGGCTGCGGATGGAGATGAGAAAAGGATGCATTTACGACGATCATCTCTACGGATCGTTTGTTTTTTAAAGAGGGATTCCCCGGGCGGTTTCTGCCTTGTCAGCGGGTGCTTAAGGCGGGAGACAATGCTCTAAAAACTTGAAAGCATTAAAACTCGTAGGCCAATGAGAGGTTCGAGGCACAATAGTTTTTGGTGCTTGCGTAATTGTTCCCTTCCACCCTCGTTGACACCGTCAAAATATGCCAAAAATATTAATGGAGCGGTGTCTGCTGTAATGAAAGGCAACGGCTATCCATTGGCAGACCCAGCGAATTGGCAACATTGTTTTCCTCCATTTAAACCTGTGGAAATGTATCGATTCTTGAAGGGGTCAGGTGCTCTGACAAGAATCGATTATTTGACATTGGTTTAAATGGAGGGCATTCGGTGTTGCCAAATTTCTGGATCCGCCTGTGCAGCTATCTCAGTATTATTTATAAGCGAAATATCACCAACAGCATAGGAAGTCATGATGTTACTCTTGTTTTTCAATTCTTTACGCAGGTTTCAAAATTTCGGCAAAAATCTCAGAAATCGAAGGTTTTTTTGTCATTTTAATATGATTCTTCTCGTTGTAACTAAAAATCTTTAAGCAGCATTGCATGATGTATGATTACAGATATCATTGAAACTTGCCTATCTCACAAAAACAGGCGCTCCGCTGCATCGCAGCCATTAACTACGACTAACTCAGATTCAAAAATTATCACGAGAAAATTGAATTTCTGAGATTCTTTCCGTCATGAATTTTTCATAATGTAGAAGATAACATTTCAAATGGAATTGAAATCTTAATTCTATTTTAAAACTAAAATTAAATTGTAAGGTCTGGAAGTGAAGGTTTCGAAAGGAGACCTGCTTCAACTTGAAAAAGTACAGGAAATTTTTAAACACTTTTACTTACCTTGTCAAAGGACTAGAGTTTAAATATAGCTATTTTCCAGACAAATTATACACGCAGTGCTACCTTATTTGATTCATGATCATTGTAGGGAGCAAAATATATTAGCAAGAATCCTAGATTCTTAAGATGTCTATTTTTGAAGGTCCTTTACTGTTATTTTCGCCTGCTTTGAGGCTTACTTCAACAAGTAAAAAAAAAAAAAAAAAAAAAAACCTAGAATTATAGAGGCGCTATGGAGAGCGAAGCAATTTTTGAATTTCATAATTTTCTAGCGACAATGTCAATTGCGTAAAAGAGCCATTTTTATGGCAGCATCGCTGCTCTTCTGAACGAGGGCGAATCTTTGGCAAGCACAATTTATGATTTGCCCAAACTTCCAGACCGAGGAAATAAGTAAAAATTCAGCGCTTACCTTTCGTGTGAATAATATCTGCCGTTGATTAAACTGAACATCCCAGATATGAAAATCCGCTGAGCTATTAACTGGCACACACAACTTCCATAAATTTGGAGCCAAAAAACTTTACAACTTTTTTATATTTCTTTTTCAACACTTCACTGATCGAGAAAATATCGAGAACAACTTTGAATTAGGATATTTAGGCAAACGAAATTTGATTTATGAAGATCTGTGATGGCGATGCGCAATGATATAAAATTGGATGAAAGTCGACTGAAAAGTGAGAAATGCTTAAAATAGGACCCGGTAAGGTGGGCTCGCCAAAAACTTTTGAGTGAGATAAATTTATTAATGAGGGAAATTGGAATCATCCGATCAATTTACTACCTCCTTTACGCGACAAAGTACCACTCTTCGCTCAAACTTAATCAAATTCAACCTTTAGCAAGTTTGTCTGTGATCCGTCGAATAATTTCCTTCGTGTTTAGAAATATTGTTCTCAAAAATCATTCAAAGCATTTGAAGCTCGACTCAAAGGCCAATATCTGCTTGATATAAACGGTCATGAAGATACATTAAATCATCACTCAAACACACGATTCGTGTTGACAGAGAACATTTAATAACTTTGAAAAATAATTGCAGTATACATAATAACAGTTCTATCTTACTAATTTTGAGAAAAAAGATGAGGAGAAAAACAAAAACGAGATACTTGGCATAATATTCTTCTTCCGTGCTTCGATACAAATTCACGTGTGAAAACCACGATTTGAAAGCATCAAATAAGGGAGCCCGTTAAATTAGCTTCGAGTCGAAAACTCCTTCAATTGAGAAGATAGGCAAAACAGCATCCCGAGAGCTGGTAAAGTGGTATCACAGTTTGTGTGTCATTCGTCGCAGACAAGACGTACTTTTCTACGGTTTATAAGAGAACGGCTGTGCGAACTCCTTTGAAAATATCGAGGAATTTTCTTCGTACTAGGCAGAAAATTAACTGAAATTTGCACAAAAATCAGCACAACCGTTTTCATGTAAATAATGCCCGGTTTTTGGCGATGGCTGATGTGGCTTGGTTCTTTCCTACTTAACGCGGTCTATTTTGGCTTTAAAAAAAAAGTTTTTTGTCGCTGCGTTCGCTTTAAGTTTCTTCGAGCTCGGAGAAACCCTGACCACGGTGCGTCTCGTCGCGGCGGGTGAAATTTTGTCCGCTCCGCGGGGCTCGCCCGACTTCCATCAATTTCAATGAAAATTTGATCGTTGGAAGATGGTGTCAGACGCAGCGGGGCCGCGGCGCGCGGCGATATAAGAGCCGGCATGTAACCGATGGATGGGGCGTCAGAAACAAGCGGAGGTGTCAATATGAGTGCGACGTCTCATCAATAATGCACAGCTCGCAAAGGCAAAGGCGAGGCGGAGCGCCTTCGCCGGGTATCAATTTCGCATCCTTTGAGCCAAGTCGGGTCCGCAACGATGCTTGAGGGGGGGGAAGGAGAAGGGGGCGATGGGGGGACTCAGGGATGATGCTCGTCGCGGCCAAGCGGGTGTCTATCCGTGCGTTCTATCGCGATGAGGAGGGATCTTTGTTGGGTTCCTTCTCGTCGAGGTCCCTTAAACGGTTTAAAAAGCGTGTCGAAAACGGGGAGAGGGACCTGCTTTATTCTCTCTATGACCAGGGAAAATTCGGCTAATAGATCGTTTTCGATACATCAAGTAGGTGAAATTGTATGGATATCGATTGGTTCAACGTGTAAACATAGCCTCAAAAGTCAATCGAGTAATCTGAGGAAACGGGGTTTTTCCAGCAAGGTTTATCTGATAGATTTTTTATTCTTACGAGTACTAAATGGCATCATAAAGTGGAATAGTTAGGAATTTTCTCATTTTCAGCTTTTCCGACTGAAATCCTGAAAGTTTTGTTTGAGGTTATGTTCTATTGTTTTGAACCAAACGATACATCGAACCACTGTCGAAAACGATCAATACGTCCAGTCAATCGATCAAGCAATAAAAAGGATGTAGTATCTTCGCCCGGTCAATAAATCAGCACTTAAATGTATCGTAGGTAATGTATAGACAAACATAATGGACTTAATAGTTCATGCTAGTATGTATACAGCGATAGAAAAAAAAAAGATTCGATAATATTTAAGTGCTCTGCTAATAAATCACCTTTTGAATATGTGGAAATGTACACACAAAAATAATAAATTCAATAATGAATGTTCGATCAAATCTTACTTGTAAGTTCTCTAAATCCACCTTGGGCTGGCTCTTCAGCACTTTGGAGTCCGGATCGATATAGTCAATCGATCGGTTGATATTCTCTCTATTTTAGGTCATTTCTCAGCAGTTCATCCGAGCATCATACCACGCTGTAGTACTCCAGATATTTGTGCAATGTGTAAGAAATGAAAAAATGTTTGAAATATCTTTAAAATGTTCCTCGGTGAGGTTATGTACGAAAATACTTTACGCACTGCAGCGTAGGGTGATCAAAGACATAAAGACGGAGTGCTCGTATCTAAAAGCACGGGGAAAAAATGAAGCCTGGTTGGGCGCTGGGTGCTTGTGTGAGTGTGTAAATGAGCGCGGGAATCCATGGCGGCAAACAGAAATTTGATTTGAACTTGTCCTCTTGATTTTTCCACATTTCTTCTTTTAAACGTGTTTTAAATGCCTAAAACGATTATATTAAGAAAGTTGGGACTGCGTCCTAATATAATACACCTACTTTTGCTCGGTAATAGGCAGTAATCTCAGATAAAGTTAGTTTTTCTTTTGCTCATGGTGGTTCTGCCGGTTCAAACAGGCCGTTACAGTCCTAGATGACCGTTACTCCCAAATGAAATTAATCGGTCGACGACGGACTAAAACTAACCTAAAGTTAAAAAAATATGAGTGGGTAAGTGAATTTGGGCAAAAATCAACCTAGAATACTTTGTTTCCGCAATTTTATTTAGTTCCCGCCCTACATATGAATTTCAAACTTGTCCCGATTTCGCCGCCAATCCTCTAGCCAATAGTAGAGGTGATTGAAAAGAAGCTTCATTTTTTGCTTTTAGCGCTCCGTCTTTATGTCTTTGAGGGTGATGCACGGAGACGTTGAGAAAAAAATCTGAAATAGAATGATTATCAATTATTGATTGATCGACTTTATCTTCGTTCTCTAAAGTGCTGAGGACACTGCATAAGGTGAATTTAGATCATTTTAAGAACGATTTGATTGTTAATCGATCGACTGGACATATTTAGGCTGGTAGGAACTGTGTGCGAATGAATTAAACCTGAAGGAACTGTGAAATACGCAAAATCTATGTATATATAGCTATAGCCTCTTTTCCAAGTAATTCATATGCACTAAGTTCCGTTTAGCATTTATATGCCCAGCTAATAATTTAGAACTAAAAGAAAGGGACAAATCTCTATTAGGTATTCTTAAGAAGAGCCAAATCCATTTCACGAATGAATTTTCGTTAAATTTAGTCGTATGGAGGCGCAATTTGGGATATTTTATACTCCAGCTTTTTGGAAAATGGAACACATAAGTATTCACTTGTCAAGACGGTGGTCTTAGACAAATAGAGCGCTTTGCTATTGGCATTTTGCAAATAGGTCGTCTGTATTGCTAAAGTGTGCACAAGCGAAAACTGCATTAAGTAATGAAACGTATCCCTAGAGGGATTAAAAAGACCTAAGTGGCTTTACAGTGTACTGAAATCTAAGGTCGTTTTTACCAAGGCTCCTTGTTCCTGGCATCCTGGCTTCTGTTGTAGAATCTTTCAATCTTAGATGCGTTCCTATTTAACATATGGCAGTAGTCCTACATTACTGCACATGAGTATTTTTTCCGAACTCCCAGTAGAAATATGTACCCATAGCTCTGCTCCATCCAATTTCTGAGCTTCAAGGCAATATCCCAGAAATATCTGAAAGTCATACCATGCTATACTGTAGTGCAATTGGTATTCATAAACAAAATATGACCCAGAAATACTTTGAAAAATTCCGAGGAAATTTCCTTACGCGAGTATGAGGACCCGAGAAATATCAAGACCATGACATTAAATAGCGTTTTTCATGTCCGCATGGTGTTCTTGGCGTCATTTACCGAGAGACAAATTTATTTGCAAGTCAAAATTCGTTCATGGTTCAATGACCCATCTCGATTTTTTGTAACGGAGGTTGGCAGTAGGTCAAAAACTTAACCAAAACCAACTCACGGAAATTCGCCTGAAGACAGGGCTTACGTGAAAAGCTTCAGAGAGCCTGTAAGAGCTTCTAAAAATCTTGCGAATTTCAAAAGTTACGAGATCCGGGAAAAGGGGTCGCTGAAATCTTCGTGGACAGATTCCAACGGGCTCCCCCTCTCAGGGCGCAACAACTGTGCAACGGTCCCATGCTGGCCCAACATGACGCCCGGCCCGGAGACACAAGTGAGTTATTCAAAGCGGTTATGAAAGCAATAATCTTGGGGCGGAAAGAGCACGTTTGGACGACGCCACCGCTGCCAGATCTCCGGAAAAAACCCCGAGTCCCCTGCGGTTCCGGGGGGCTGGGGGGTCGATCCGACGGCGGCGCGCGGGGAGCAGATAGCAGCCTGGCGTAGGGCTCGGCGGGCGGCCCAGTGCTAAGTTAGCACTAAGTCGTGGCCCACAGGGAAATCAATGGCACTGTCTTAAAAGCACACCATCTTAGGCAAATTCGCTCGGGTTCCCACCCCCTCCCCCCGGTCGCCCACCCTCGCCTTAGACGGTTCCTATCTGCGATCGTTCCTGGCTAATTGAATCCCTGTATTGTTGCGACCCGGAGGAATGTTGCGTGGTATTCTGCCGTACTAAGGAAGAACGCCCTATGAACATTCGAGAGTTGCCAAATTTCCTTCATTAAAATGCTGGTTTTTTAGGAAAGTTATGAATACTTTTCCTTGAAATTTTCAGGAACTGTAGGTAAAATTGCGAACAAAATCATCCGAAAAATTGGAGGGAAAATACTCATAAGTTTACCAGGGAATTCGCGTTTCATCTAAGGAAATTTGACAACGCCTGAAGGTTCATACGGCGTTTTTCCATAGCACGGCAGTATTGTGAGGCGGCTTTTCCGATCTCGGACGAGGGACGACCTCCGCCAAAGCGACGATGGAATTGGATCTCGG